ATGACAATGCTAGGGTGTACTTCTAGATGTAAGCAGCTTTTGATCATGTTGCAGTTCAAAACAGGTAAACAATATACCCTGTATATTTACTGTAAAAAAGAAGATCAACTGATAGAAGATTGACCATGATTGATAGTCATGGAGCCTATTGTCATTTGCCTCAGGTAGAAATATCTCTTTGTTAACATGTAGGGAATGTATTACTTCAACATCTGAAGCACCACCTGGCTGAAGTTGATGGTTCAGTGCTCTTTCGGAACAGTATCTGCTAGGGACATACGATTTTCTGGTAGTCTGATAAGAAAGGCGTTACAAGAAAGGCAGGCTGGTATCAGCTGCAAGCTCTCCTCTGTGACATCCCTCCAGGGATCTTTTGGAGTCACTGGAATAGTTAGTATTGGACAGGAAGGAGGCATACCTGGGAAGAGCGGTTCCCAAAATTTCTGTGACTGTGTGGTTCCTTCTCTTTAGAGGCCATGCTGAGTGTTCTTTCCAGTCCGTGTCCGCAGTAGGTAACATATCAGAGGGAAGGCAAAACCATAGTGGTGCTCCTTGAAAGCTGTTATGTCCTATTGCAATTTTTATCTGTTTACAGTGTATATGCACCTGCTTGAAAGATGACTGCTGTATAGCCACTCCTGTGTAGGAAAAGGCTGTTTATACCCAATTTAACCCTTCCATATAAGGTGCTACAGATAGGCAGAGGTCAGTGCTGTGTTTGCTTTTCCTTGCAGTGAAAAATAAATGGGTCGTAATTCTGGTTCCCTCAGACAATTGCAAAACATTGCCTAATAATAAGAAATTAGTAGAATGACCTCAAGGATCGAGAGCCAAGAGTAGGCAGCTGACAACTACTCCATCTCCTTCTCATTTCTGTAGGAGACCAGGAATATCTTCATTGTTTCAAGTGAATTTCTTATGCTTGCAGGTGTCAATTTGAGATTCTTTGAATTAAAGGAGCTTTGCTCTTGAATTCATCCTGTGTCACCAGCATTGCTTTCTTCTAAGTTGGATTTCATTCTTCCAAATGAACAGAGAATTTTGCACATTAAGTGTCTTGCGACTTTTCATGACATAGAGGGTACTTCATTATAAAGAAGTGCTTGTAGTTATTTGGTATAAATTCATCAGCTGTTATTTACTGGACCTCGCAAATGAGTGAAACTACATTCTGTTGCTGCATGTTTATTTGAATTATTTGCAATACCTTCACACTTCTGGATAAAGTATCTCTTCCAGCTTCAAAACGGACATGATTGCAGCAGGCTGGCTATTGGTAAGAGAGATAAACACGAGAAGGGCAGAGTAATGACATGCAGAAGCTCTGTTTAGTCAGTGGATGGCAGAGCTAATTCTTAAAGAAATTACTGTGCCAAGGAGTTTTGTATAGCCCCTTCACAAACTGTAGTTATTCAGCTCATAGTGTTGGATGCATAGCTATTCATACTGGAATTTGACAAACATGTACATTTCAGTGGTTCTTTTGAAATAATTAAAAAAATCAATGACTGTGATGGGGGTGTAATAAGCTATGCCAACTTTCTGACTGGAAAATAGGAAGCTGTGTTATGAATTGCCTGGAGAAATAAAGAATTTCCTTTCTTCTTCACATCACAAGCAAGTGCATCACCTTCGTACAGGGCAGAGATACAATTCAAGTCTGGATTTACCTCTATAACAATCCCGAGTGCTTTGGAGTTAAGAAGTAGACCTGCTTTGACCACCATGTCTCAGTTGTTTCCATGCTCATGATCCCAAGAGCAGAAAGATGTTTTAGAAGCTTTGCCAGCCACTTCTGGCAGAAAATTAACCAAGCCTGAACTCCTTGGTCGTGACTGGACCAATTCCAGTACTCAAGCTCATGCTTTAGTGCTTTTTGGGACAATTTTCCATTGCATTAGAATTTTTATTCCATACTGTTAAAAGGTAGACGTAGAGGCTCTTCTTGATTTCGGTGTCGTTCCCAGTTTGGGTGGTTTTGGTGTTTGTTTTTTGTTTTTTTTTTTTTATCCTCCAAACCATGTGACATTAAAGGTTTGCAACAGAATAGTAAGAACACTGAAACGTTTTGCATGATTTCAGGAGGTACAAGGTGGATAAAGCAAAGAATAAAGATAAGAAGAGACCTGGCCACATGGATCTTGTAGCGCCTTTGGGCTAGATAGTTTGGCCACCTCAGTAGAGAGGCTACTAGCAACTCTTCATCTTCTTTCACTTCATGTGGGAATGCCATCCCTATGGCTTCCTCTTTCACAGCCCTGTAAGGGGCTGGGGCTCCCAGGCTGGCCCATGAATTCAAAGTGATGCTTTCACTGCAGTGGGTTGTTGCAGTGCTGCGTGTCCAGGAGCAAACTGAGTGGAATGGGTGTAGTAATTGTCTTTTGCTGTGTGGCAAATGTGACATGTTGGGTGAAAAGCAATAGACTGCCAAAGCCTCTCTGTTTTATTTGTTCCCCCTCCAAACCTGTTCTGTTTTTTTTTGGATATGCCTGTGATAGCTGTCTCGGCAGCCCTCAGAAAACCTCACATGTTTTGGACTGAGTGGTTTGCCAGGGAAAATTATAGCTGACAAACGGCTGCAGTCCCATCATTCAGCATGATGGAGGGGTGAGCATGGGAGGGGTTTCCTTGCTCTCTGTTTTTTTAGAAGGTGGCAGGGAAGAATTACAGTGTCTGTCTGTGCTCCTGGTGCGGCAGGGAATATGACTTTTTAAGGGTTGGACAGGCAGTGCAAATGATAAGGTCTTGCGGGATGGAAAACAATTCTCCCTCCTTCAGGAGAAGGAAACCTCTTCTTCTTCCCCCCAGGGTAGGGGAGTCTGTCTTTCCCTCTTTGCTTTTAAGAAATGATCCCTCTTTTGTGAGCCTAGGCTTATTGCTGAGGCATCCCATTAAGAGAGTCACCACACCTTCCTGTTACTTCCTGGTGTGCTCTCAATACTTCATTTCGCCCACCTTTCCTGCCTCAAATCAGGTCCCAGAAACTACCTCCACCCTCCCGCCCACAAAGTTTTTAGCACCCAGACGACATGCATAGCGATCCCCTGTGCTGAGGCTGAAGGTAGCTATTCAGAGATGTGCTGCGTTGTGCCAGAGGATCAATGCCCACTCATCCATCTCTCTACCATATACCACCCTAGGGGATGTGAGTTAGCAGGGCAAGCCACTCGACAAAGAGACCAGAAATGAGAACGTAAGGAATGGTAGCTAAACAGAAGTGGGTGAGCAAAGCTGTTTTACAAACAATGAAACATTGTTCCTAGAGAAGCCTAGAACTAGAGCCTTTTGGTGAGGCAGGTGAGAAATAGTGGGTACTGGTGTGCCTGGCAGCAGCAGTGTAATGGGAGAGAGGGGCTTGAGGTTGCCATTGAGAGAAAGAGCAATGGGAAGGCAGAAACAATTAAAAAACAAACCAGCAAGGTTTTGTAGAAGATACAGAAGGCTCAGAAAGAGGTCAGCAAGGGGAGAGAAGGTAAAGCAGGTAAATAATGAAAAGAAGATGCAAAAGAAAAGTTACATTGCTAAAGAAGATGCCACGTAGTTACAAAGACCTGAGGGATGGCTTTCAGCAGCAAATCTGAAGATACCAAAGCTACTTGACTCATTATATGGCACAAGAAGCACATCATGGTATCATGTGAGCTTGTAACATGTCAGGAGCCTGCTTGTTGGTGCCTGGGTGCATGGTATAAACTAGAAGACTTAGTGGTGGTGCAACCCACTCTGATATCTGTGCTTCTGTTACTGAGTGGAGAGTATTGGGTGCACTTTCTATGGAGGATCTTTGGGTCTGCTTTCATTTCTAAGGAATCCAGTTTGCATGTACCGATGCCGCTCCACAACACAAACCGAACAACGGTACATGGGGATATTTTAAAAGGACAGCCCCAGCTTTAGACAAACATGCTAATGTAAGCATGTGTAAAGGAAATATCTTTTGTGGACCAGCGTATTACTATCTTGGAAGTTATGCCCTAAATGCTCATTCCATCAAGGTTAGTTAATTTATGCTGTGATAAGGTTGTAAATGAGCAGCTGATGGGCTCCTCTTAGGTTCTAGAGATACAGTTATTCACCTTTGTTTCTTCTGTGATGCATAAAAAAAGGCAGGAAAGGGGTCGGTGTAAGGGGCTGAACTGGGTCTTTCCTAAAAAATACTGAATTAAATTATTGGCATTTGCTAGGATAGAAGGAGAAACCTGCTTATCTATTGTATTTGAATTCTGTAGTTGAATAGATGCAAAGGTAGGTGACTTGCTACTTCACCACAGTGCATTTTATAACCCTGTAATACAGTTTGGCTGATTTCTTGTAGAGCAGTGGAGGGAGCAGGTTTTATTATTTTATACTGCCTGCTGAAATTTGCATCTCCATTTCACAGGTGTTATTAAAAAATAAAATAAAATAAAAAAGCCTGACCTGCACCTCAAGCCTCAGTTTGGTTCCTTTCGTCAAATACCAAAATGAGGCAGTCATTTCACCATGAAGTAGAAAGTCTGACTAAATAAGTCACTAATTTGAGCAAATGTCAGTTGAAGTGCTTAATGTATATTAAATGAATTTTAGAAGAGAAGATTTTAGGCAGTCTGAAAACCATACCTACTTGGTTCTATATTGTAATTTTTTTGGTGGGATGCTTTGTGAAAACTAGTTAACACATTGACAGGTTTCCTTATTAGTAGCATCTTCTTACCTAACATATATTATTACTTACCATGTTTTTTCTTTCTTCCCCCCTGTATTATATCTGGTAAGTAAATGCTTATCAATTAAAAGGAAGTGGGTGGAGTTAGGGCGGGACAAGGGGTAGAAATTACATTATCATTGAGAGCATCTGTGGTGTCAGGCTTCAGAGGGCAGTAGCCTTCTCCTAGAGATAGCTTTGCTCTTAGAATGTGTAATTTTTATTTGCCTCTGTCTCCTGAAGTTGTTGGATTCTCCATTACAGATGAGCATATATTCTCAGGAAGGCAGCAGGTTGGCGTTTTGAAGGAGCAAGCATGGAAGAAAATAGAGAGGGCCATGGCCTTGCAGGGGGCAAGATTTTGTCTATCTGGATGATTTTGTTTGTGGTGTTAGTCTTGTTGCCTTCGATGTTTAGAGTATCATTGGGGATTTCTCATTTCTATGTGAAAATTGTAATAAAAATATTAGAGGTAAGTTGAGAATTGAGTTAAATTGGGTTACTATAGGATGTGTTTAATAAAAAAATAAAAATCTGTACATTTGATATAGATGCCATAAAAGTCAGCAGAAAGAACTCCATTAACTTGGATGTGTTGTTTGCAGCTTTAACTTATGCGATAGTTCTTTTAAATGGTGTCTTTAATGATATCTAGTTATGTGCTGGGTTATAATCTGGTACTGGTTTGAGGTTTTCTTGGGTTAAAGTAGAGATTCCATGATATATTGTTTCTAGTTCAAGCTGGTTAGAATACTTCATGCTATACTTGTGGCAAGTCAAATATAAATAAAAAGATGTATTAGTTTATGGGAGTTGGTAAGTAACAAGAACATGTATTTTAGATGTACATAAGTTTCAATGGTTTTATTTGGATTATTTTAATGCTATTAATGAGTACTGTTCTAGGTAAGAATACTGACTGTGTGTGTTTGCTTCTTCCAGTTATAAATCTGGGGGATCCAGCAGTCACAAGTTCTGCTGTACGAGACTTGAGGAATCCATGCAACCTTATAAAAGTGTAATTTTCCTAGAGATGAACAGGTCATGGCTAAGATGCTCTTACTGCTGATATCAGTAAAAGTTTTCTGGGGCTTTTAATAAGCCAGAATTGCATTTAATTTATCAAGTCTGACTTTTCATATTTATCAGTGGCCAAAAGTAGGTGCTGTGAATTCATCATATTGTAACAGCGAAGCGTTTCTGTTTTCCAATAGATTAACTTTGTCTTTCTGGCATAAACCTGCTTTTCATGAATATACTTTCTATTTGTGGCAGAAAACTTATTACTAGTATTGTTACTATTATTAAGCTGTTAGAGCCATCTATTTGTGCAGTAGAACGTCTGTAACAATGTGATATAGTTAATATAATGACCATCTTACCTTGCTAATTTTGTCTTCTGTCTTATAATTTTTCTGTCTCTCTTTTTTTTCAATGCTGATTAAGAGCTCTTGGGCAGGGACTGTCTTCAGCCATATGAATGTCATTTAGCATAGTGTGCATGACTGCAAACTTTAGGGGTTACTTGTTTTTTTCAGATACTGATGTCAATGGGAAATGACTGCCTGCAGTGGCTATATGTAATATTGGCTTTTATATGTGATACTTTTTTTTTTAAATCAGCCAGTGGTATGCTAATTAAATTCTTATTGGTACCCTGAGTGAGAGGCTTGTGGCACTTGGAATTGATTTCATCAGGCTCTCTCATATCAGACACAAACCTGAGGGGTCTTTGGACAGCTTTGCTACTGCAGTTGGCAGATATTAAAATAATTTCTGTATTTTTTTGTCCCCTGTGCATTTCCCAACTTTGAAGGACATTTGATCCACTCAGTGGGTGCTTTATATAGAAAGGCACTTCTCTTTGGAAAAGCACCTTAAATGTTTTTCTTTCCACAGTTTTCGTAACATGTTACGAGCATGATAATTTTGTGTTCATCATGTGGAGGATTAATTTATCAAAAAAGAAGTAATTAAGTTAATTGTTATGTGATCAGATATAGCTTTCTATGTCTAGTTCCCCATTGCCACAGCAGCTAACAACAGGAGGAGCGCAGCTTCAGGTACTGCAGTTCAGACTGGCTTGTTTTGTGCTTTAGTTGAAAGTTGTTCCCTAACTGTCTTGTGGGCAAAAAAGGATTTTCCTCTGTTTTCATTGTACGATTAATTTCAGCTGTTTTCTTTGAAGTATTGTTCAAATGCTTCTCATTGTGCCAAAAGAGTAACTAAGAGCTGTCTTGGTGGGAAATGGGAGGGAGAGAGGATGGAGGGAATGTTAGGTCTGTGCTTGTGCTGTGGTCCGCTTGGCTCTTCAGAAATAAGGGTAGGGCTGGGAAATGTTGGGTTAAAGCTTGTGCATACAATTGCTGGGCCTATTCTTGGAGTCCTGGGTCTCATTCACCAGAATATGGCTGAAATTGCTGCTTGGGATACAGTTAGCTTTAAAGCAGGCTTATATGCGCCCTTTGTTCAAGAAATGAACGACTCGACATTGATAGCCTAGTGAAGCGTCGACTTGTTTCTAGCTGTGACATTATCTACCTGAGATCTTGCTAACAGGGTAACGCACAAAGACCATCCTTGGTTCCTGTTGTTAGCCCGAATGGTGAAATAGGATGCCTTACTGGATAGCTATGCTGAAAATGCTGAGAGCAGATGTTTAGTCATGTATTAGCACACTACTGACTGTACTGCAGAAATATCAGTGCTCTAGGAAGTACCAAACAACTGGTTGATGTTTCACCAAAAATCCAACCTTGAGCCCTACAACTGGATTCTCCATTGTGTTGCATTTGATTTGGTCTGTTATGTAGACTAGCAAAATTAATAGAAAACTTCTCACCTGAGAACACTTTATATTTGCTTCTTACAGCTGTAAATGACTACACAAATTGGAGGCAGAGGGAAAACATGTTTTATTTTCCTTCATGTTTTGTCAGTTTGAGAAAAATAAGAGTAGAGACTCAAATCAAGGACTTTAAAGTCAAAAGATATATTTTCAAAGTTGTGTTTTCAAAGAAAGCATATCTGTAGCCCTTACTGAATTTGCTGGGAGCTCTAGGTGTTTTAGGATAAAGCCCAAGTTTGCAGATCTATTACTAAGCAATGAGTAATGGTGGCATATGATGAGATAAGTCATTTTAATTTCCTGACTTCACTGAGGTGTTTTAGCAGTGTGAACAGTGACTAGAACAAATGGGCAAGATGTAATCTATGTATGGAAAGAATTCGTACCCTTTGCTGCTTTTCCATCAAGGAATCTAGATACTTGTTTTTTAGAAACAAAACAAACCTTTTTACAAAAGCAAGATTCAAGGTTTGAAAATTTGGGGGGTGATTGTTTTTGTTTGTGGGTTTTTTGGTTTTGTGTGGTTTTTTGTTTTGGTGGGGTTTTTTGTGGGTTTGGTTTTTGGTTTTTTTTTTTGAGTACATATGGGGATAGTAATAGTAAAAGATCTCCAAGACATAACGTCTCAATTGCATAACTGTTAGCTTATAATTACTATTATTACCATTCATTTATCCTTAAAATATTTCTGGAAATTATAAAGATTAATTTGGTTTGGTTACTGATAGGGTTATTCTTTCCCATATGCTTGTAAGCTTTTATTTGTGAAATAACATGTTTTCTCTAAGCTTTGTATTTGCTTGTCTGTAATGGGGTTTGGTGGAAATGACAATACTAGCAAAGCTTTATAATTACTATTATTACCATTCATTTATCCTTAAAATATTTCTGGAAATTATAAAGATTAATTTGGTTTGGTTACTGATAGGGTTATTCTTTCCCATATGCTTGTAAGCTTTTATTTGTGAAATAACATGTTTTCTCTAAGCTTTGTATTTGCTTGTCTGTAATGGGGTTTGGTGGAAATGACAATACTAGCAAAGCTGTGCTAGGGATATTATTCCAGCTCTTTAGTGTTGCAGCTGCAAAAGAAAATGCATTTGCTAGAATGAAATCTACATCGTGCTCTCGCAGTCCTGTGGAGAGTCAAATAAACATGTTAAACAGCTGTAGCTCCATTTGCCGAGAATCTTCTGGAATTTTATGAGATCTGAGCTTCTGTTTGAAATTGCAGTATTGTTGTTTCTTGAGAAATACTCGCATGTAGGAAAAACATCAGCCAGCTAGTAATTGTGGGTATTCTTTGAATTGATAGCTCACTTGTACATTGAGGTAGCTAATATGCCGTAAACACCCACAGCTCACTGCTGTGCTTTCAAATACATGGTTATCCCGAGCTAACCACTATATCAAAAAACAAAGAAATGATACTTGTGCTTTTTATCCCAAACATTTGTTTGGGACCCTTCTCAACCTATTTCATCTGCCCTCACTAGAGCAGCCAGGAGATTTGTGAGTGCTTTTCACCGTCCAATTATGGAGAGTCACTGCTTGCACATCCTCTCAGACCTGCTATGTAATATGCAGATCATTTAATCTGGGTTCTTGTTTGGGATGTGAAAGGGGAAATGAGGCCAGACAGAAAGGACTGTTGGATGAAAAGGTCATAAGTGCTTGATCTTAGATGGTGATTTTAGCTTGCGCTAAAAACCTACTGACCTTCTCTTGTAATTATATTGGAAGACTTTACATGGAATAATTACGCTAAGGCCTTTGTCGCACATGAGAACAAAGCCAAGAAGAGGATTGAAAAAAAAACAGTGTAATGAGTGATTAGAAAAAGCTTTTGTGAGAACGTGGGAGAAGAGGTAGTAAAATATGGGAACATAGAGGAACAGAGGCAAAACCGAATTATTACACAGTACGGAAAAATGGAGTACTGAACAACACACCGAACTGTACTTAAAAGGAAAAAGGGAGGAAAAACCACGAGGAGTGAGACTTTAAAAAATGAACATCCATATTGTATAGCTTTTCATACCATGTACTATGAAGAAAGTAATTAATATAATGAAGTATTAGGCACTCTTACTTTGTTCAGAATGTAATTATAGGAAGCCTCAAACAAACGGGGCTGTTGGAGTTAAGCTGTCAAGTTTTTCAGTATTCCAGATGGGATCACCTGCTGGATGTTTGGACTTCTTGTGTCCTCATCACTTCAGAAATGGGAGGGAGGAAAGCACAGTACCTGAGTTCTCATTTGGTCAGCAAACTTAGGAATGAAGTTGCTCCATTTAATGCTTAAATTCTGTGTTAGTTGCAACATCTGTGTTTTTGTAAGGTATTTAAAACATCCTTTCATTACTGTTTTGCAACAAAGACCAGCATGACAGCTCTGTCTCAATACTGTGCAAAACAAAGGCGATCACAAAGCCTTATTTCATATTTTAAAAACAAATTAAACTTACAGATGCTACCGAATGCAGAACAACATAGAAACTACTCTGCTGGGTCAGTCCAGAGTTTGACCCAGACAGACAGCCTGGCTTTGACAGGCGACAACTCAATTGCTTGGTGAAAAGCTTAAGAGCTGCATGATTGTACAGCCATATTGCCAGGAATACCCTCGCAGCTGCTTGTTGCTTCAGCCTCCCGTGCCGATTCATGAATTAGGAGAGTTTTGTGTCCCATGATGATTTTCATCCATGTTTCTGTGTAACTGCTCCCATTTCAGATGATCTCTGGCAATATGTCCTGGACAATGAACTCCACAACTTAACTGTGTTTTGTGGAAGTATATTACCTTTTTCTTGCTCACACACTCTGCCTAACACTTTCATATGATGCTCCCCAGTTTTTGTACTAGAAGAGAAAACGGACAACTGTTCCTTGTGCACCTGCTCTGTGCCAGTCCAGACTTTGTAGACATCTGTCATACGCCATCTCAGCCAGCTCTTTTCCAAGCTAACAAGCCCTGTGTAACCGTTCACCTATTGAAAGCTCTTCCTCATCTGCCTTGTCCTCTGCCTTTGTAGCCTTGGCTGACTATTTAATTACAGGCTGCCACTTTTGTCCCACTGTTTTCTGTGCTATGAGGAAGCTACTAGTATACTTTACTAGTAAACTTTATAAACTGTTGTTGGTTTTGACTTGTCTTGCTCATTTGAATTAGTTAACATATTTTTGTGAGTCAGCTTGGTCAGTGATTGTCATCCTTTTTCTACCTGGGATTCAAAAGCCAGCCTCCTTGAGGTATTCCAAATCCTTTAGGACAGTATGAGCAAGCTCATTTCTGGCAGTGCTTGCCAACTGGCAGGTGCCTGTTCATGTAGGAGGACCATGATGGGGAAGATAAAGGTGGTAGACAGGAGACAGCAAAGCACAGAGTAAGGCAAAGGGCTTTATTTGCCAAGCTAGGTGACTTTTATTTTTTTTCTTCCTTATGCCATATAACTATCCTAAAGGATATTGGGGAAGGGATGAGGACCAGCAGTACATTATAAAGAGATTAAGTTTGCCACATGTCTGCTTTTACTCTCTTTTGCAACATTCTTGTTCCTGTGCCGTATATTCTTTCATTTCTCAGTGTGTGGGCTGCTGTTTTCGTGACATCCTCTGGCTCCCCAATTCTGAATGACTCTTCGTGTGTTGCAAAAGATTGAGACAGATGATGTACCAGTTTACCTTTCCTAGGGAATAATTGGAAAGTATAGACAAGATGAAGGTCTGCTTTTTTTTTTTATGGTGTTATAACAGATGGTTTGCATGGAGTTTATATCGCATCACTGCCTATTCTGCTTTCTCTTTTTTCTTTTCTTTTAAGACGGCTGGTAAAAAAAAAAAGTCAACTAAGGGTAACTAAAATATCCTAATTATGCTGTGATAAAGTGTCCCTTTTTTGTTATTGACTTAAACTTCAATAGCTACAGAAGGAGCTGGTAGAGAGCATGCAAAACTTAAGGATGGCAAAAAGCTAGTCGATGTTGTTGGCATATGCAACACGATGAAATGTGGTGAAGACTTGAGATAAGCTTCGTGGTGATTTAAATGGCTGCGCATGTCAGTAAGAGGGAAATAAACTGTTTAGCAAGAGTTTATCCTGAAGCAGAAGGATGTATCCTTATCTGTTGTAGGTGGGAAGCCTTAATAGCAGGTGAGAACGTAAGTTGAGTGGGTCACTGATTCCTTAATAATGAGCAAAGCCTACACGCAAGCATCCTGTGTCCTTTGTTAGGGCAGATATCTTGGCATAAATACGGGAAGGTATAGTACTCACGAGAGCTAGTATTTATATGTCTATATATGTATGATGAAAACATTCAAAACTATGAAAACTTCAAAAAACAGGCATATTGGTATATTTGATTTCACTAACAGAGGAGTTTTATGCTGCTCTGCACAGGGAGGAGAAACTTGGCTTAGCTCAAAAAGGTAAAGACAGGGAAGGGCGAAGGCTCATTACCAAAACTACTACTTCAGAAATACTATGGATGCGAAATGGTCCCTCCTCTGTTTTCTGTTAACAGAAACTGCATGAATGCCCTAAAACTGAGGTAATCTCTTTTATTCTTTAAAATCCATTTTTAGATCTATTTTTCTAGCATGTGTGTAATGTCAGTGTTAGTATTTTGCATCATTCTATTGCCTGAAGCTAACTGGTGAAGGGAGAGTTTTGGACCCATGGACCTCATAGAGTCTCTTAGGTAGCTCAGTAATTTGTGGGGCCCAAGGAAAAAAACAACTGCCTGTGTCCTGAAAAGAAGTTTGAGCCAAACAATTTTTCCTGAAAATGACAAAAGGTAATCTATGTAACAAATGAAACGGGAGGCGTGCAGGACAGCCTTCAGGCTGAATTTGAAAAATTGAAAATCTAAGACCTGGCTTCAATAAAAGAGGCTCAGACAATTCACCTAAGGTAATTACAGAATGCCTGGAAATGATGAAATGAAAACCATCAACATCTACTTTTCTTGTTTTGGGAACAGTGGGCCACCCTGCAGATTGAGGAGGGAGTAAAAAAGCAGAAGGCGCTGGCACTTGAAAATTTAATCTCCACGGGTAAGATCTCTGAATGAAGGTGACACAGCACTATTCATCTTGTAAAAGGGCAACTATTTTAATATCTTACCTAGAAAAGAGCAAACAGAAACATAAATGGCATCTGATATTAAGTAAGAAAACTGGAATGGCCAAAATGGAGTTTGATGGGCAAATAATTGCTGAAGTTACAAACCTACCAAAGAGACCTTAAGTATGTTATAAGCAAGATAATCTGTGAATGATTGAGTCTTCTGAAAAAAAGGTGTTAGAGACTAGTGTGGGTATCGAAAGACATTGCTGATAAGCATTTGGGAAGCTGTCCCTGTTTTCATGAGTGTTTTGTACTTTCTGACTGCATCAGCTCTCTCTTTACAAGATTAGGAGGAATGAGTATTCTTTGCCCTTGACACTGCTCTGTATGGATTCTCTCTTGCTTCTTGTAACTCCTAGCATGCAAAAAGCCAGGGTCTCTCAAGTAAAGGAGCTACACCTTCCCACGGATCACAGTTACAATTTGCACTCTTCTCTAGGCATGGGGATAAAATCTGAAAGTAATTTTTTTTTTTTCCTCTTCCCAACTATTTTTCCTTTCTTCTTTGACCAAAGGGGATTGGGTTAAGTTCTCATAGTAATCCTTTTACTTGTAGTGCCATTTTTAGTCATTAGTCACGTAGGCTGCTTGGTTTGTCAGCTAATGAATTTCAGGTCTGATGATTTCCTGGACGTTGAAGGTTTGACTGAAGTGCAGCTGGAGGAAAGTTTTGTGATTCTGATCAGGGGGTAGTATGTTGATTAAGATAAATTAAATGTATTTTGAATAATGCATATTTAATGTCATCCAATACCCTCCCCCCCCCCAGAAAAAAAAAAAAAAAAAAGCCAAACAAAAAAGCCAAGTGTTAGCTGGTATGAATCAACACAATTTTAGTCACTGTAACCAGCCAGATAAGAATCTGGTCTCAGAGTGACCTCAGCAAACATCACTGAGAGTTGCTGTGTGACTGTCCTATGAAGTGTAATTTTACAGATATGGAGCATGAATGTGTTGTCATTCTTCCTGCACAATGCTTCTGTGTTACACTCTG